TCATTGTTTTGTTTTGTTTTGATATGCTAGTTTTTGTTTTATCTTATTATATTATATTTTATTATTATTCCTTAGAAGCCTGTTTATAATGAGAGACAGAAAGAGAGTGGTTGTAGATAGAAGGAGAGGTAGACAGGAACTGAGGGGGAATAAAGGGTGGTAAACCATAATGTAATCAGGATATATTCTTCTCTAAAAAATGATTTAAAATCTATTTTCAATTAAAGAAAAAGTAAGGAGTGAATCACAAGAGAAAGAAAGAAGGAAGGAAGGAAGAAAAGTTAAAAAATAGCTATGCTACATTGGGAAGGAGAAAGAAAACTTGAGCAACATACCTTCACTGTGTTTTGCATTTTTTAGTAGTAGAAGTGATTTCAGGATTAGATTAGAAATGATCTGAGATATAACAAATAAATCAGAAAGTATTATATTTCATTAACCTTTATATTATTAAATTGATTATATTCTCCTCTCAAAGAAAATCTTTCTTCCACATAGACAAGAAACTCTGGTGGGCAGACCAAAACTTAGCTCAACTCGGAACTTGTAACAAGAGAGATGGAAGAAATCCCACCATCCTGCGAAACAAGACTTCTGGGGTTGTTCACATGAAAGTATATGACAAAGAAGCACAACAAGGTATGTCCCTGTGTGGTTAATTCATGACACTGCATAAGGTGCTCTTGTTTTCACACAGCTTTCCCAAGTAAACAGTCTGTTGGCTGATAGGCTCCTATTCTAGCCTTTAGTTATGTTTGGGGGAGGAACCCATGCCTAATACTAAAGAAAACTGTCTTCACATAAGAGGCATATTGACTTATTGGAAAGGCTTCTGTAAGATTTTTAAGTTTTCACTTAATTGACATTTTTATCTAGTACTTGACTAAAAACTGCAGATTTAAAAACAATTGAATGAAAATTTATATAATATGTAACTAGTCCAGAGACCTTTAAATGTACCACATTGACATAAGAACACCATATCTTAAAGCACAGCACTGTTTGGCCCTGCACATATGCATTTCTGTTTCACTTGCCCACATAGTGGGCAGTAAAATGGGATGAAAACTAGCAGATGGTTTACATAGGGGGACTTGTCCCAGTGCCCAGGTGGCAATTGGATTAGAGATCCAGCCATTGCGTACAGTGCTTTCTTGGTCTTTGCTACAGCATGCATGAAATTAGCATAATCCTCTTTGAAATGAAAATCATTCTCCACATAATACTTCCAAAATCCTTCTCCTCCTCCTCTTCCTCTAACCATTCTCCACAGACACATTCTGCTTCCTTAAATGGTTCTCCGTAGCTTCTTCCCTTATTTTGGCTTCTGCCTTGAAAATCCTTACTTTCACATACATGTCTTCTCACTGTAAATTTCAAAACTGTATTTGGACATTTAAAAGGAGGATTTAATCCAAATAATTTGGAATATGTATACCAAATCAGAGACAAGTAAGGGGAAGAGAGAGAACCAAGGTGCCAACTGTTTCAGAAGTAGTGTATAGTATTCTAGAAGGCAAGGTTTGCTGGTCATACCCTTCCCAAGTAGACACAATAAAAACTAGAGTTGTGACTGCCATCCCTTTCAAAGACTGAAATTTTGATCTAGGTTCCTTGCTAGGGAACCTATGGAAAATATGTCTTTGTTTCCAATAAAAAAAGGATTATTTTAAAATTCAGTGTGATATGATAGAGGTACTTTTATTGTTGCCTACATATCAATTCACAGATGACTCCCTGCACAAATCTGTATTTCTTCAAGAATATTTAGTTATTTTTGAATATTTTTATTCAGGTATATCATGTGTTTTGAACACACTCACCCCCATACTCTATCATCTTTTTTTTCCTTCTCCCCATCCCAGTAGTCCCTTTCCTTCTCCTAATTTCATTTCTGTTGTTATTTTGTATGAAAGTGTAAAGAACAACATCTGTGTTACTTGTCTTTCTGATTTTGGATGACTTTCCCTGCTATCCTCATCTCTAGGTGTATCATTTTTTGCAAAAGCTAAACAAGAAGAAAAATATTTCACTATTCATTATGTCTGAATAAACTTCCAATGTGTTTGTGTGTGTGCTTTGTTCTCTCACCTGTTAAAGACACATAGGATGTTTTTGTAAGGTAGTTATAATATTGCTGCAATTAACATGTAGATAATGCTATGTAATTGATAGTAAATAAAATATAATAAGATATTTTATGTCTATTCAATTGAAACATATTTATTCAGTACAAAAGTGTATAATTTACAATACCACTATCAATTTCATTGCATAGTGTGCAATAAACATATTTCTGAGATGTGTTTAAACACAGCCTTAGAAAATACAACATGCACAGAAACAGAGGGAGTACAAGAAGTGGTTCCAACCAAGGTGCCTAGAGACATGAAGTCATTGAGCTTTCAAGACATGAACAACACATACTTCCTGTGAAACAGCATATTAATTTTGTAGATAATGGGTCTGATACAATTTTCAGGAGGCTGTACTTCTATATGACTCTTGACTAAGCTCTTCTTAGTTTCACACCCCTTACCTGGGAGATTTGACTCTATAGGTGCCACTTGGTGACACATGCATTCCAGAAGTGACTGACCAGTGGTAACATACAACTGCATTGTTCTCACTGGAAAATGCTGATGGCAGCATCTGTTTGAAAGACAATGCTATTAACAGAATCACTGTCGGTAGCTTGAAAGCTTCATTAGAATGAAATATGAGCAATTTAAGGCTCTTTAAGGTGTTAACATTATTACCTCCTTGGATTTCAAAGTACAATTAACTGCCCCGTTTATCATTTTTGACACAGATCACTACAGAATTAAGGTTCTTTTAGTCAAGTGGACTTTCCAACTCTACTTGTCATTTGGGGTGTGAGTTGTGAACATCAATTTCACTACAAATCCTAATCCAAACTACTACTTATAACTTGATAATGACTGTAATTGCCCCCTATTTGCATCTTCATAAAATCGATGAAAATGTTGACTTAAAGTAAGACTAATTTCATTACTATTTTCTCTACACAGAAGTTCTGTAAAATACATGTTGTTATTCTACAAGTATGTTAAAATATAGGACTTTTATTTATCAACAAATAAGTATAAAATATATCAACAGCATTGTAGTTGCACTACTTACTAGTAGCTGCCATTTTGTTTGCTATTTTCTGCCAATATTAATATAATTTCTCACATTCTCTTACTTACATATGTTCATTCTATTACTTGACTTATTTTTCTTAACTTTTTCATCTTGCTCAGCTCTCCTCTCCATGTGGTGTTCCCTTAAATGCTATATTGAAATGGCATTTGCCCATTTCTTCCCAGGCTGCAGTCTTGGTGTAGGTGAAGCAAGCATCATATAAGCACATGTCTATGGAGTAGCATTAAGTTAAAATGTGTCCACATGCTTTCCATAAAATTAAGAACTTTCATGATCAGTTTATAATGTCTACACAGTTGTTAATTTAGTTGTCTTTTTGTTGAAAATATCAGAGATCTGAACTGTCTGTTACTTCAAGTTAACCTGAGAAAAGGGCTGAGCCAGCTACCTCACTAGCTCATATAAGAGATATGCAATTGCTTTAAAATGTCAAGTTACTTCTAAGGGGTTCAATATTGCTTAGCTATAGATAAAGAAATGAGCTGAGAGTGTGATCCATCTCCTGATAATCCATATCCAGATAAAGAATATTTTAAACTTCATAAATGACAGAGATAGTGACAGATTCTAGTGAGGAATTAAATCCCCAAATTAAGAAAGCAAGAAATAATGAAATGGGCTGGCATTTGGAATCTACCATAGAGTGCTAGTGATACACAGCTCACAGCAGGCTTTGTGATGGTCACTGGATTTTTTGAACTTTGTAGCAGAGATTGAACACATTAAATGACATTGCACATTGACCTACAACAATAAAATTGTTGTGAAAATAGGATATTTTAAGGAATTTACAGGGAGGACTGTAAATTACCTAACTTTATGCTACAGATTTAACTAGCAAATTGGGCCTAGTAAAGTCAATGGAAGTAAATAGAATGTCAATCTGGAATTATCTGCCAAATATTTGTGGTTGTTGCCATACAGAAATGAGCAGAAGTAACATGTTAATCAGTTACATGATTTTTGGGGGTGTGTTTTAAATATATTTTAGAAGAATTATGTTCTTTGGGATGCATAAAATAATGTCTTTGCTTTAAAAAATAAATATGAAACACATGCACGTAAAGATCCTGTTCTTTTAGAGGTGAAGCTAAACTTGTCAGAAAGTAAACATTGCCGTTTTTGTGTGATCTTTCAACATTTTCAAGGTCTCTGACAACAGGGAATTATGGCAGATTCTGGGAAAGCCATAATTTGATAAGCTGAGATAATAGGGTCATGTATTCTAGACCAGATGAACATTATCTAGTGAGATCTGTTTAAACACACAAAAGGCAGAAATTAAAGAGTTAATGACAGTATTCATGAAAATTCCAATTTCCTCTGTTTTTCTATATGAACTTATGATACTGTTTAATTGTTTTGAAGGGCAGGATTCAATCATAAGCTGCCACTTTAAGTTATTTGAAAGATAGATGTCATATCCTATATAAACCAGATATATCTAGAAATAAATAAATATTTGTTCACATTGAATTCTTCTATGTTCTTCATTATTTTCTTTTTGACATTGTTTTGTTTTCCTTCTCTACAGGCAGCAATTCTTGCCACCTAAATAATGGTGGTTGTTCTCAGCTTTGTCTTCCAACATCTGAAACTACCAGGACTTGCATGTGTACAGTGGGATATTATCTCCGGAAGAACCGCATGTCATGCCAAGGTACATATTCACAAGAAATTGACTATGCTGTGCTTACTGTATCCAGCAATGCATGCCACACAGATTTCAGGCAGTCACTGCTAGTTAACAATTAGAAAAGCACAACATAATCTTGTAATTAGGGCAATGGTTGCATTGGTACCTCCTCAAACACTCAGCAGAGTCTTCTTTTTAGAGTAGTTTATACCAAGAGCAAGACCAAATTACAGTAAACACTCAGCAGAGTCTTCTTTTTAGAGTAGTTTATACCAAGAGCAAGACAAAATTTGAGTTTGCCAGCCATGTTTCTCCACCTGTATTCCATCTGTTTGTAGTCTCTGTCTGCCTGGTGTGTGTGTGTGTGTGTGTGTGTGTGTGTGTGTGTGTCTGTCTGTCTGTCTGTCTGTCTGTCTGTCTGTTATGACTTATCTCATTTGAAATAAAATATGTGAATGACAGTTATTTCATGCCAGACTCTGTTGAATGGTTCTTGAAACATTCAGACTTACTTGTCTCCTTGTAAATTAAGGAGGTGGATCCCTATCACCCAATTTGATATATCATAAAACTGAGGCATGAGGACACTAATGACCAAGTTTTGTGATTAGGTGGTGTTAGATGTGTTTAAAGACATGTACTTTTATTAAGAGTACAATATTATGAAATTCAAGAATGTATTCCAGGCAAAACTTAATACCTTATTCCTTGGCCTATTTGAATCTAAAGGACTTAAGAAAGGGACTATGTTCCTAAAAACTTCTAAATGTCTATTGCAACAATGACAATGAAGTAGTTGTGTAAATCAAAAGCCCTTATTTTACAGGAACAAGTGCATACTTGTATTTTCAGAAGACAGTGAACTGTGTTTGTAAGGCCAAGCATTCTGTACATTATCCTCTTCAGAGCTTCTGCCTATGATCTTCTCATACCAAGGGTATTACTGACAGAGAAGCTTTCAGCTTCACCCACACAGCTCCTGGGATGTGACTTGTGATTTATGAAACCCTCTGGGAGATTTCAGTGCCCACCAGAATTTTAGGGCCTCAGCTTATATATATTTCAGTCATGGGAACTACACAATTACAGAAGTTTCATGAAGCTAAGAAATACATTCACTACTATAAATTAATATTCTGGAAATGATATTAATGGATTGTTATATGAGAGACTCATTTTGAAATTTCTTTCCTCTATTTAGGCATAGAAACTTTTCTGATGTACTCTGTTCATGAAGGAATCCGGGGGATACCTCTTGAACCAAGTGACAAAATGGATGCTCTGATGCCTATATCAGGAACTGCATTTGCTGTGGGGATAGACTTCCATGCAGGTATGTGGATTTCATTAATAATTAGTGTATAATGCTCTCTTGATTCAGAAATCACAATGGCAATATGACTTTCAATCTGTACTTGAATAATCAAGTTGAAAATGAATTAGGAATAAATTTTTCAGGCACCTAAAATTGTTCTACTTATATTTTGGCTGAAAATATCAAGTAAATGTTTTGTTTTTCTTTCTAAACAATGACAAGAACATTTGAATGACAAGTACATTTATATGCCATTTTTTGACAATTGGTTGTTTTCTTTTTCAAATGGTATTTTACTTTCATATAGCTATAAATATAAAAATACCCCAGATAAAAAATTCTGATCTATTGAATTCTTAAGGTATACCCTTATTAAAAATATTTTCTTAATATATAATCAATGGTAAGATAATTTGTATAACTTTTAATGTAGTATGTGTGGGGAGACAAATTTGCTTTAATTCCTTGTTTTTTTACAAATAATGAAAGAAAGTGTCCAAAGATCACAAGATTGCTGTGGGTGACATATATTTTTTCTTTTTTTAGAAACAATCATTTTACACTTCAATCCTCCAGTTCCTTCTCCCTCCCATCCTCACATGCCCCCTACCAACACCCCCACCCGTTCCCCAAGGAGGATGAAACTTCCATGGGGAATCATCAACGTCAGTCACATCATTTGGGGGAGGGCCTAGGCCCCTCCTCCTTGTATCTGGGCTGAAATAGTATCCCTCCATAGGGAATGGGCTCCCAAAGTCCATTTGTGCACTAGGGATAAATACTGGTTTCACAGTTAGAGTTCCCATAGCCACCTAACTGGCACCCACATTCAGAGGGTTTGGTTTGGTCCAATGCTAGTTTCCCAGCTTTAGGATTGGGGTCTGATCCATGTGCTCTCACTAGGTTAGGTCAGGTCAGCTGGTTCTGTCGGTTTCTCCAGCAAAGTCTTGACTCCTTTGCTTATTCCCTTCTCCCTCTCTACAACTGGATTCCAGGGGTGTGGTTCAATGTTTAGCTGTGGGTGCCTGCTCTGTTTCCATCAGCTACTGGATGAAGGCTCATGCTTATCTTTCTGTGACTGGGTTATCTTACTCAGGATGATTGCTTCCAGTTCCATCCACTTGCCTGTGTATTTCAAGATTTTTTTTTTCTTACTGGGTAATACTACATTGTGTAAATGAGCCACATTTTCTCCATCCATTCTTCTAAGTGTCATCTAAGTTGCTTCCAGGTTCTGGCTATTACAAACAACACTGCTACGAACATAGTTGAACATATGTCCTTGTTGTATGAATGGGCATCCTTTGGGTATATAGTGGGTGGTATAAATTAACCACAGGAAATTCATAGTAAATATTGCTCAATGTGTAGAAGCTAACAAGTTGGGAGCAGGTAACTCCAAAAGTCAGACACAGCAGTAATGATAACAGTGGCTCTCTCATCTCATTTGTAATTTATATCTCTTATTCAACACTTAAGATTTTAAAGTTCTAAAAAATTTGTAGGTCTCCAATCTTAACTAAGTTCTGTTTCCTGAGTTCATGTTTTTAGTGTTAAAATACTCATAAAGATTTCTAAATGTTCCCATAATGTAAAACGTTTCTAATATGAAAAACATCATACCTCTCTGAATTATAATATTAAAAAGAGGAATTCTTAAAGTATTAGAAATATTATTTGAGCTGGTGGGATGGCTTGGTGGTTAAGAAAGACTGTATCTTCTGCAGAGGACCCAGGTCAGTTCCAGCTGGTGCCTGACTACTCTTCCTAACTCTAGTTCCATGTGATCTAGCATCCTCTCTGAAGTTCACCAGTCACTCCTGTACTGTACATACATGTAGACAAAATACAAATACACATGAAATAAAGATGACAAATCTTTACGGTTTTTATCTTGATCAAAACATGGACTTCTAGTGGGAAAAATAGTGTTTCTCCTTTGCTGTAGCAATTTTGGTTTTTGAAAATTTGGAGTATCTTCACAAATGGTTCAAAGAAGAATTTTCTGTTTTCTTTCTTCATATATTGTTATGTTTTTGCTGGCCTGAAACTCACTATGTAGGTCAGCCTTCACACTCATGGAAATTTGCCTGTATCTATGCCACAAGTGCTGAAATCAAAGGCGTTTTCAACTACACCCAGTACAAGACTACTTGTCTTAAATATGTTATCTTGGGCCAAATCCTTGACATCAAATAGACACAAGTGTCCTATGATTGTTTTAACTATTTATTTATTTATTTATTTATTTTAGGCCTATGTGTGTAAGCCTGAATGTATGTGTGTATATGCATGTGTGAAATATCCAGAGATACAGGACTTCTGTGTACATACTGCTGCTGAAAATAGAAGCCAGGTGCCCCACAACAACAGCAAGAAATATTAATTACTGTGCTACTTTTACAATTCTGGTAGTTTCAGAATTGTTTTCTGCAAAAGAGAAATTCTAGCAAGAAATATTTTAAGCATTATGGTAATCTTGCCAAAAGCGTATTACAATATTTGAGCTACCATTGATCAAACCACTTTATTATTTATGGAAGATTTATTACCTTACATTGTATAATATACCCTGATTTTTATACGTATGGGTTTTCCTTACAATTTTATTATATGATTCAATGAGTGCAAAACTAAGAAAATTTGAACTTATTAAAACTTTTATATATGTATATGCATTTTAATTTAGAACAAGGTCTCCTATGTTAGCTCATATTTTATATTTGATTGTTTGAAAGAGTCATTAATGATCTTTGAAAATATATGATTAATTTCCATGAAGCAGAAATATTAAAAGTAAGTAGATATTAATATTTTGATTCAGTCAATAACAAAAAATTTAAGAGTAAACTAATGACTTGTAGCAGTTAAATTTGCTCTCTGAGGTTTTATTCCTGAGAAAATACTACATTTTATAAAACAGTATAATTTTGTTGTAGACAATAATCACCAACTTATTTCAATAATTCAAGAATTATTAATATAACATTAATTCATATTGAAGTATCTTTTGTCAGCAGAAATGATTAGTTTCAGATAGAATTTTGTGTTCTCTCTATATGTCAACTATTATATTTAAAAATGCTTATTTATTTTTTGAAAGTTTCATACATTTTCACAATTATTTTGAAATATTATGTCCATCATTATCTCACTTTAACTCTTTCTAATTCTCTTAACCCCAACACCATCCCAACTTCATATCCTCCATTTTTGCTGTTATGAATAGCCCCTTAAGTCTAATTCGTGCTGCCCATACATTGTTAAACAGGTATCTACCAGCAACCAAGTTCCCAAAGGAGAAAGATTCTCCCTTCCTCAGGAAACATGAGATTCTAATGCTTTCTTTGCAAAAGACATAGTTTTGGGGGACTCTCCTCAGTTTGTATTAGAATCTAGATTGGTTTGATATTGTGTAGTTAACTGATGGTTTTGTGAGTTTATATGAATAATAACCATGTCAATGTGAAGAACTCTGAATTTTTTTACATTCTCTCCACCCACGAAGTCCTAGACCTCACAGGGGGAAGTGGGTATAGATATCCATACACAATTGAACACTTATGGATACAAATACTTGACAATTTGACCATTTATGAAAGTGGTGGTTTGAAAGAAAATGGCCCCCAAAGGGAGGGGCACTATTAGGAGTTGTGGACCATTTATGAAAGTGGTGGTTTGAAAGAAAATGGCCCCCAAAGGGAGGGACACTATTAGGAGTTGTGCTGTTGTTGGAGTGGGTATGGTCTGGAAGAGTGACACTGTGGATGTAGGCTCAAACTATTATTGGTGTGGGACCAACTTCTTCTGTTGCTTGAGGATCAAGATGTAGAACTCCCAGTTTCTTCTCCAGCACCATGATGCCTGTGTGCTGTCATGTCCTGCCATGATGATAATGGACTGAACCTCTGAAACTGTAAGCCACACCATTTGATGGCCATGGTGTCGATTCACAGCAATAGAAAACCTTACTAAGAAAATGAGCTTCTGCATTAACCTCTACTCACTTCAAGAAGAAGCTGATTGTTTAATGTAGAGTTCCAGGAAAAATATTTTAGAAGACCCACTTTTTGTAAATATGAAGATATTTAGGTTATCATATAAGTACAGTGTCTAGGCATTAATTATTTTCTCCATTGTCTGAAGAAGACACCAAGAAAACACCTGCTTCAAAAACTAGAGGGTGGAAAATTCAGAGACCAATTAACCTAGTATCTAAAGAATCCCTAGTCTAGCACTGGAGAACTTGGATTCCAGTGCCCAATAAAATCATTTTCCAGCTCTTTCACTTCAGGCAAAGTATCTATTACTTGGATTCCAGTGCCCAATAAAATCATTTTCCAGCTCTTTCACTTCAGTCAAAGTATCTATTTATTTATTTTAGTCTCAGTTGCCTTATTTCTGCAATATGAAGAAACATCTAGACAGTTTATGAAAGCAGTTGACATAGTATCTGATACACATGATACTCAAAATTTGTAATCTTATCAAATAAAGAACATACAAGTTATGGCATACCAAGTGAATAGCATGATATTTTTTTCTTTCCTGGTAATGTTTTTTTTAGACTGTTATTTGAGTATAACAGTAGGTAGGCATTTCTTTATTACTTATGGCAACAGAAATTGACTAGGGATGATTTCTCCAGTGAAGATAAACACTACACCCATATTATCAATCTGTGAAGGAGATACTTATAGATTAGGAACATTACCATTTGCACACAACCCTGAAATTCCAACCTCAGACATTGGCATATAGTGCTTAGAAAAGTAACTACAAGACATACTAATGAGATGATGGTGTGGTTGAGAGCACTATGGGCTCCAACAATTTCACATGTCTTTTGTGCTCCCATGTGCTGTGAGGTCTCCTTCACCTCGCTGCCTCTTGAAGATGTATTATAATGAGAATTAGGCCCACTGCTTGATTTATAATGTCATTAAAGACAATATGCATGCTTGTTATGTTGTTGAGGGAATTTGCTTCAGGATGGAAGAAATAAAAATAATTGGATT